CCAGCAGCGCTGCTGATGCCTGAACGGTATGTGGAATGAAGTGGGCGGGCATTGGGAGGCCACTATGGCATGGGGCAAGCACTATGGGCAGTCTATCTGAAGTGTACCTGGCGTATAAGACGACCCCTCACTTGGAGGCATATTTTTCAGGGCCAAAAAATCGTCTTATACGCCGGCAAATACGGTATTTTAATCTTCACCAACGATATATTTTTAGTTGATTTTTTTAGAGAGTGGAGAGAGTGAGGAGGGGGAGGAGAGAGAGGAACATCAATGTGAGAGAGATACATCAATTGGTTGCCTCCTGCATGTACCCCAACCAGAAATCAAGCCAGCAACCCAGGTATGTGCCCTTGATTGGGAATCAAACTCAAAGAGTCCGAGGGCCGTCACTCTAACCACCAAGCCAAACAGGCCAGGGTTAACCAAAAAAGTTTTAACTTGACTTACTAGAAAAGGAAATTCAGACCCTATATCCTTATTTGTTTGTTTATTGTCCTTGTACCCTTACTAGAATTTTGTATTTTTAAAAAATGCTCAATGTAAAAGATGTTCGGTTGTTTGTTTTTTGCTTTAATCCTTATCTTACCCCCCAGAGGTAGCCAAACACAAACCACACACAGTTAGTTTTGCGACTCTTTTTCATACAGTATATTGTGAACAATGTACACTTTTCTTCTTCCAAACAGCAGCTGCACAGGCAGCATTGCACTGTAGGTCTGTCCCATGATTTATTTAACCTGTTCCTCAGTTTAAAAAAAATTAAAGTTGTGTGTGTGTGCAATTATACTAGAGGCCCAGTGCACAAAATTCATGCATGGGTAGGGTCCCTAGTGGCTGCCAGCTCACCTCCCTTCCCCACCCCCAGCCACCATGGCCACCACCTCTGCCGCTGGCCCCGCCCCCTAGTTGAACTCCTGGTCAAACTCCCTGTTGAGGGGACAATTTACATATTAGGCTTTTATTATATAGGACTAGAGGCCTGGTGCACAAAAATGTGCACTTGGGGTGGGGGGGGGCCCTCAGCCCGGCCTATGCCCTCTTGCAGTCAGGGACCCCTCGGAGGATGTCCACCTGCTGG